AGTTTCTTGTCTTGTGGCAATAGCCATTCCAGTTTCTTTTTAATATACGTACTTATTTATATTTTGACTTATTATATCGAGATAGCCTTTTGGTGTATATTTTCCCTCATCGAGTCTTTGTCCTTGACACATTCTTGTTGCTCCTTGTGATGGTAAACTGAGTTGATGCATCGCAAGTATTAAGTCCCTCAATTGCTCTTACATTTGTGTCATTGGACTCTTTATTTCAACAAGCTTTGCCATGATAATACTTAAAAAATAAATATCTAATATCACTCAAGACAAGCAAAAGAGTGGACTTAAGAACAAAGAAGATATTAAAAATAATATTAGATTAGAAGAAGGTAATTATCATGGACATATGTATTTATCTCAATAGTTACTTATATGATTAAGTAGAAGTAGGTAAATATAGAATAATTTCATAAAGTCTTCTAGGAAAGCTTCTTAGAAGCTTCATAGATGCAGTTTTGACTTTAGATGTATTTGTAGGTTAGAAACTTAGCCAAAAAGCTAACCATGTATTGGTAGCTTATGGAATAAGTTATCTCTATGTAGTAGCTTGTAGAACAAGTCAACTACGTGGCGCATACATAGATAACTTGCCTTGTAAGATAAGACATGTGGCTAGGAAAGTCAATACATGTTGGAAGTCCTATAGGACATCGCCACGTAGCTCTTAGTTAGATAGTACATATAGAGGCAAGAGTGAAGCCTTCTTCACTCTTGTCAATGCGTTCCTAGTCCTTAGTCTTATTCCAAGACTTTCTAGTCTTCTTGTCTTTGGCAATAGCCATTCTAATTCAATAATATATCATTTTTGAGTGACTTTTTAATTCTCTTCAGTGATAGAAGAGTGTATTGAAGATTTTCTTTCTTTAAAATTCATGTCCTCAATAGTAATCCACAACTTCTAATACACTTATGTCTTATCAAGAGAAAGAAGTAATCCACTCTTAATTAAGAGAAGACAAAGCTCCAATATTATAAGTATACTCTTGTCAATTCGTCAAAAATATGAACTAGAAGAAGATGCATAAATCTGAAAAGTTTGTATCAAAAGAAAAGTGACAAAATAGCAATAAAGTAGTATGTATATTAAAAAAAAATTGGAATAGCTATTGTTAAAAGACAAAAAAACTAGAGACTTTTTAATCTAGACTGGAAGCAATGAAGAAGTAGGCACGACTAAAGAGGGCTTCACTCTTCCCTCAATATATACTATCTAACTATGAGCTATGTGGCAATGTTCTATAAGACCTCTAATATATGTTGACTTTGCATGATATATGCTTTAGCTTACAAAAATAAGTTTTTTATGTGTGGACCACATAGTTAGCTTGTTCTTCAAGCTACCAATATGTATAACACATGGCTAACTTGTTGACCACGTTTTTAACTTAAAAAATCAATTATAGATATCTATAAAATCAAAGCAACATTTATAAAGCTTCTAAGAAGCTTGTATAAAAAATATTATAAAATTAACCTATTTTTACCTACTTTTATCTAATCATATAGGTAATTATTGATTTACATGTGTATATCTGTGACAATTGGCCATTATGTGGTATTTTTTTAAAGATTTTTTTCAAATTCTTAAATAAGTGGTTAAATCAATTTTTTTGGAATAATAGAGGTGATGGTGTTAATTGATAGATGTCTTAGAAGAAGTAATGATGGTGATAAGGACAAGGACCAAAGAGAATTGTAAGAGAGAAAAAAATTATACTTATCCTTATACACTTTTTTGAATTTATCTTACAGCAAGACCTCTCAAATATCTTTGAATACCAATTCTTCAAGTAGCAAGTTCAAGTCAAGTGATTGTAATGGTGAATTAGTAATTATTCCTATTATAGAATCTTTCTCACAAAAAATGATCTCATTTGGCTATATGTTTTATAAAGCATTTATTCTTCAAAAGAAATAACAAGTGATGTCTAACTTTGTAACTATGTTATATATATCCCACTTGTAATTCTTTTCATCGATGCCAATGCCAATATCCATTGACTAGTCATATGCATCCATGAACTTAGCCTTAAAAATACTGTCAAAGTAGAGAGAATTTGCTTTAAGAAAGCGTTGGACTTCTAATTGTTATTAATTGATCATTCAATTCTCAAGATATTAAAAAAAAAAAAAAAAAAAAAAAAAAACACACCAAGTTCATATATAAAATTGTCCCTATAGGAGCAATTACATCAATACATAGGCCTTAAGTACCAAAGATTACTAAAAATGTGATAAAAATATTATAAAATCTTTTATATCCTTAAAGTGAATTTTTTTCAAACTTCAACAACTCATATCTCTTGGTTAGACTGTCTAGATAAACCAAAATTTTACATGAAGTATTAATATAAAATTAAAAACTACCACAATAAATTTTAACTACAAATTCATTACAAATCTTGAGATATTGCCAAAATTCTAATAGTAGCTTCAAATCCTTACTTATATACACATATGTGCAATTTTCTTTATATCTCTTAAACTAAATACTCAAATATCATAAAATTTTGATATATAGCTTTTTAACCTAATAATATATACTTTTAAAAAAATTGAGCCAAAATTTCATCCGAAAGCTCAAGATATGGTTCCAACCATTACTATCAACAAAATGACTCACTTACTGCCTTTGAATTACATGTATTGTCTTCAACGCTCTATAACTTCTTTATACAAACTCTAAATGCAAAAATTCTTTCACAAAATATGTAGATCTTGAAATTACCCTTATAGTTGTACCTCTCGATCTCCAAAATCAATCATAAAACTCATTTTTTTTTCAAAATAGCAACAGTATGTCTTAAAAAGACTTTTTAACTTCAAATGGTTATAACTTCATCATCCTAATTCCAAATCCTCTAAACTTTGCACATAGATTGTAGCTTCAATTATAAATCTTACAATTTTTCCTTTTGATTTTCAAATGCTTCTTCTATAGTTGTCAAAATCCTTGTTATAGTTGTCGACAACATGCTAAATGCCTATTGGGCATGGCCCTTGATCAATAGGAATGAAAATCATTATCTTTTGATTTTTTCCATCCATATCTTGCTTTCATCCCTCCAAATATGTTGTTTTAGAGGTTTAGATCTTCATCTTTGAATCCCAATGTCCTCTTTAAGTTTTATACTAAATATCTAAATCCTATATAATTTAAACACTATAATCAATATAGATAAACCTCAAAATAAATTTTCTTACATCAACTCTCTTAAAATTAACCTACTAACCATTCTAATGTACATCAAAAATTATAAATATATTATATATTTTAGTTAATTTTTACATACTATAAATAATTATAATATTATAATATATACCATGCATTCAACCTAGTATATTAGTCGCAAAAAAATTAAATTTGTTCTTTGATGTTTTGTTTATCTGATTCACAAACCGCACCAAAGCTCCAAATTTTGATCTTTGCTTCTCGCATACTTTAGTCTTGGTTGAACCATGTAACTTTTGGAAGTTTATTGGGTCTTCAAGGAAGAAACAATTGTGGCATGGTTAGTTCTTCCAAAATGACCTCCTTTGCTACAACCTATAATATTAGGAATCTTCTTCAAAGACATAAGGAATATCAAAAAAGAGTGAAAAATGATGGATGTAGAATGTTAAGTCAACATGCTAGGTCAATTTGATATTACTTGATATTTCACAAAATATCAAGGGGTACAAAGGTTTGAACAATGATATTTTAGATATGATATTTTGAGTGATTTTGGAAATATCAAGTTGTAAATCTTAGTTATTTAGATTTGCAATCTTATCATGTTTGAAATCCCTTAATACAACAAGTGACTTGCAGCATTTTAAGAAGTGAACTAGAAGAGGGAGTATGTAAAATAATATAAAGTTTGTATATAAAACAATATAAATGCATATATATGTATAAATTGTATATAATGAATACATTTTTTTTTTCATGATAATTTTTAAAATCTTTTTTTTAATAGGAAACAACACATGTTGTGAACAATTGTTTTATTATGAAGCTGATGTATTGCAATTTTATTACATTTGTGTTGTTTGTAATATAAATCATAATTAGTTCAACAATGTCTCTAGTTACAAAAGTTTAGTCCTTGTCTTTATTGAATCAAATTAATTTAAATAAAAGAAATAAAGATAGTGGAAAAAAATAATGAAATAAGTGTAAAAAAATATGTTATGATAAAATATGAATTTTTAAATTGGCTTTAAAAAATACAATGGAATACGACATTAGATTTTTTTGAAAGTAGTATCAAGGTCTGGAAGAGGTGCATGGAAATAATTCTTATGAATGTGATTAATACATTTAGAAACTACACATTAATTAAGATAATTATTATTTAATTTTATTTAATTATCATAATGAATACTCTTTTTATGAGATCTATGAAGTTTATAAAAAAAAACTATGTGAAAGAAGATTTTGGAAATGTGAAAGTATTAATAGTTAAATGAGATTGAAATGCAATATCATTAGCTCTCAACTCTGCTGCCAATTGTAAAGCTTCAAAGAAGTTTTGTAAATAGTTGGGTTACTGAAATCAGTGATTGATACGATTTTAATTCCTTTGACCTTCACAGATTGCTAAGTTAATTAATCCCATTTGCCTCTGTTGTAATCCATTTCTCTTAATTTTGGAAGCAAATTTGATCTTGATAACTAAAATACATCCAAAGTTCCTCCGTTAATTTCACAATCTCATTGTTGTTCTGACTTTTGTACCTTCTTAATGCGATCATCTAGAAATGTTTTCTACCTGCTTTTTCAAAACAGGTTCACCACAAGTTAATTATTTGATATACTGTGAGACCTTCATTATATGGAATTAAGTTGAACTTCTATCTGGAAGCTTGCTAGTATTTAATAGCGCGAAGAAGACGAGAAGTGAAGAATAGAGAATTCCAGACTCCAGGTTGGACTCTTTCTGAACAATGCAATGACGAGGAGACAATACTGAATGGCAGTCAGGCACATCTCTGGCATAATCTAAAAACTGAATTCCTCAGAAAGCTGTAAACGCATTGAAAGGAGTCAATTCAAATTTGTAATATGTGCCGGAGGACAATTGTTATTTCAACTCCAGTAAAGCTACCAAACCTAACGCCTGACTACAAGTCACGCTGTCAACCTTCAATAAATGTGTCTCAAATGTAAAGCTTGCTTGGTATGACGCACACGATGTACCTCTACTGCGATTGCCTAGCTAACAATAGGACTTCGAAGATTGAAATATATCATTCAGCAGCTTCAAGTGTAGCCAAAGATCAGCCGAGTCACACCCAACACATTTTGCTCTCTTAACCGATTAGAAGCTTCGTCTCCTCGGTGAACTTGTACTGGGGAACTTCTAGGTTGTAAGGAGCTGGACCCTTCCTAATTCTTCCAGAAATGTCGTAGTGAGAACCGTGGCATGGACAGAACCAGCCTCCATAATCTCCTGCATTCGGCAAAGGCACGCATCCTAAGTGGGTGCACACGCCCACCACCACTAACCACTCCGGGTTCAGGACCCTTGCGGCGTCGTCCTCGGGATCCCGAAGCTCGTTCAATGGAGTTGAGTTCGCCAGTTTGATGTCTGCCTCAGTCCTATGCCGCACAAACACGGGCTTGCCTCTCCACTTCACAGTCACCGTCGATCCGGGCTCGATGCTGCTGATGTCCACCTCCAATGACGCCAGAGCAAGAACGTCACGACTGGCTGACATGGACAGAATCAGCTTCAGCGCCAAGATTCGCAGAGCTGAAGCATAGATGAAACGCCCGCCTGCAACATGCTCCACACTGTTAGAGCACATCTTCTGTATGTACATAATTACAACCATTGTTGTTGAAACATGCGCCTGTCGGGACAAACAAAACATAGAAGCGACCGAGACTAAAGAGTCCCTACCCCAGAACTTCCGAAGTTCACAAAAAAATAAGCCAGGCAAGATTAAGACCGGGACTAAAGAAACGCTGGAAAACTTTTAGAGAAAGGTCTACAATATACCTGTGAGAACCAGGTAAGCAAAAGCTTTCTTGCTAGGATCTCCTGGAGCACATCGTTCATGTGTGTGCTCATCGTATGTGATCTCGTTGGATATATTCTTGAGTGCCATTTGTGTAGCTGGCATAGTGGCAGTTCCTGAAGCTGTACCTGCTAAGGCGTCTGAGGCAAATCCTGGAAAATGAAACAAAGGTATTTTAGTTTCAACAATGGCTGCTTAGTACCAACGTTCTTGCGCCTTTCATACTCAGCCTATCAAAATTAATTTCAACATTTGAAAATTTATGACGAATTCGGACCAATGTTTTGTAGCACACAGTCAGGAGCGAAAATACTAATCTTTCACATCCATCACAACGAATGTACCAGACTAATATTCTCTGCTAATACGCTGGTGGTCATAAATAAATCTTATTGCCGAAGCACACATACAATAATCAGTCGCTTCATTCAATTTCAAATCAAACCCCAAGGCAACAACTGCTACCACACTGTTACTCCGCATAATCAAAAACCTCTAATACATGACCTCGTATTTTCACCCTAAACGCACATTCTCACTGAATAACCTTTGTACATCATAACTTTCAAACAGACATTACAATTCTCTGCACTGGATCAACTACATCGAATCACTGATTTTTTAGGGTAACAGGATATAGATTTTCAAAGAACATCACACATAATTAGCTTTCCGAAACTGTTCCAGAACTAAACCTCCGCGACATACGCAACTGCTAGCTAGCCAAAAACCTGGACAGGTAAAACATTCTAGCTGTAGAATCCGCACTTCTACTAGATCAAGAGCAAAATCATTACAATTACTCAAAAGAAGGTAACAGACAGAACCCACAACTCTACGCATCGTACAAAACCGGTTCCCCTTTCCTAAAAGCCACAAAACCAAGCTCACTCCTATTAAATGAAAAAAATTCCAGAACAGGGAAAAAAATATGCATAACGGGATACACAACCCGCATCGTGCCCTAGTTTGACCGTTCATAACTATCATTCTTAAAGTTGACACCATACGCAAGAAGAAAGAGATTCAAGATCTACCGCGGGAAAAGTGCCCGAATCGGCTGAGCAAGTTAGAGCTGGACGGAACCACGGCTCCATCTTTACCACGACCCTCCCTCACGCAGCTGCTCACATCCAAGAGAGCACCAGGGGAACCCTCCGCGGATTGCACGAGGCGGGTGAGTGTGGGAAGCCTCCGCCCCAAACCCCTCGCCAACATGATGCCTGCTGACCCAAAAACAATTATCCCAAAAATTGTGTAGCTTTGTGCAAGAAATTCTAGTCACTACGCTCGCTCAGACGCGCTGAGGCCAGCAAAGAGAACGAGACAGGTGCCAAAACGCAGCCTGTAGTGTCCCTCGGAGACGCTAGAATGCCGCAATCAACCCAGACCTCGACGCACGCACACACAGCCCTGGTCTTTTCGGGAACGGCAAAGGGGACGAAGGGAACAGAATCCTTGTTGATACCCGCCTTACGGTTCTTCCTTCATCCAGTGAAGACCAGGTCATCAATAACACATAGAGAGACCTCCGTGATCATTGATTGGTCACTGGTTGATTCAGTGGACTGTTCCATAAATAACAGGAGGCTCTTCATACGACCGTTTCGTTCTGGAATCCGTCTCCCTCATCCCCCCCTCACAAGATCTGAAGCTTCCGTTTCCTCGCAACTGCGACAAATTTTTGCATCTCATAGACACATTTAGTGCATCGGGAACATGCCTCTGCGATTGCGGTACTGTCTTATTTGCGGTTTGTGAGATGCTCTCGTGCGTCGTTGGATGGTTTGTTTGAAGAGGTTTTATTGAAGTATTATTGCATGTGTGGTAAAGGAGCTGAGAATCTACTCGGAGTTGTGTGAACCCTTGTTGTATTGTTGGATTCGCTGCGAGGATAATTTTTGGAAGTATTTTAGGCTGGAGGAAGTGGAAAGCTCGAGGAGCGCTGTGTAGATGAGGGGCGTGGCGGATTGTTCACGTTGAGAGGAGAACAGGAGGAGCTCTAATTACAGATCTGGGCGGGAGTGGACAGGATGACGATGCATTTGAGTGCTGATGGTAGAGGGGCAGGGTTCAATGGGAGATAAGTTCAAATTGGAGCTGATTAGCTGAACAAGTTTCGTCAGAGTGGAGTCTATTTAGAGGTCGCCATGGCGAGGACTAAAGCGAGCACTCTTGAGTTCATCAACGAAATTTTTCCAACAGGTATGCATCTATACACATCGTCTGAACGTTCTCTCGTATATTCTGAGCATCTAACCTTGGACTATCTGCCCCTCCAGAGTTAACTATGAACTATGAAGGTCATGTCAGAAGAGTCATCTTTAGTTTTAGAACAACACCGCACTTTCCTCTGACTTTCTCTATGTGTCTAAGCTCACGGGAAGGATTGTTTAATATGAATGGTCCTACAATGGCATTGTACACCTTTGTGGATTGTGATATTCTCGGAGGCATGCTACCTATGGCGTACACGCTTGTAATATAGTTTGAAGCACACTTTGAAGACTGTAAGAGTTTCCAAAGACTTGAAGACTGTGGGTTGAGAATGCTTGAGTTGGAACAATCCTGTTCACTTGTAGCAGTATCAGAATCGCAATATAGCGTAGATTGGATGCTCTAATTTAATATTTGTTCCTTTTGCGAACTCCTCGGATTTCAATTCACCGAGTACTGGAGTCCTTCTATATAATCATCTTCTTCAATCCTTTCTGGTAGTAAGGGTGATGGATTTGTTCGATGTGGTACTGTCGAGTGGATTAGATGCAAATTAATATCTTTAGCTAACCTAGTCTTCCTAAACCGCATTCATTCAATCGCAATTATTGCGTTTAAGTGGTTTACCTTAGTCGGGGTTTGTTTCGTAGTAAATCGATGCTTCTGCAGTTTTCTACTCTAAAAATTCTACAACCTCATTCGTTCCAAATGGTCACTGACATGCTCAATCTGCTATTGGTAGATTCAAGTCTATCATTTTTACGCAGATGTAAGTAATTCAATCTTATCCTGCGTTTGGGAGATGTACCCCGCACATATTATGCTTTGTGTTTGTACAGGGTTTTGAAAACTGCACTCTGTGGTGTGCTGCAGAGGCATCTTTAGTGGCAGTAGATCCTCTTCTTGGAAAGCTGCGTAACAAGATCCGGCATGTAGATGCTGAGATCATTTCAGCAATTAGGCAGCAGGTGCTAGCTTGGAACCAATCTTCGTGGAGAGATTAACTGCAGATCTTGTTGCTCTTCTCCAACTATTGACTGATTTTTTCTCTGATCCTTGTTCAACATACTAACATTTTGAAAGAAGCCTTTGACTGTCCTTGATGGTATAAGTATTTTTAGCCTTCCTCTATCATATTATTGACAAGTTAGCAATATTCAGAGCACCTCGGGTTCTAAAGCTAAGGAGGACCTTGCAGCTGCAATGCGTGCCATCCAGGTAGTGCTTCCTCGCTATATGTTTGTGGCTATTTAATTATTCACTCATCCTTGCTAATATTCTAGGTTTGTGTTTTGGTTTTTCACATAATCTGGAGAGTCTTGCTTTTGCTGATAGTGTGACTTACTCTCGGCATGAGTTGTGGAGCCGTTAAATTTTAGCCTTGTAAGTTTTAAACATAAATAGCCATTATGAACATGGCCTTCGTTTTGTCTGTCGCACGTATACTTGGGCTTTCTTTGTAATGCATGCAGAAGTAGATTTATCACTCACCTAGGGTAACCAAGCGCAATCTGGTCTCGAATGCTGGTTATGTGCAGGAGTTGACTCAGAAAATAAGTGAAATGAAAGAAAAGGCAGAGCAAAGTGAGGTGATGGTTCAGGAAATCTGTCGTGATATCAAGAAGCTGGATTTTGCAAAGAAGAATATCACAACCACTGTAACGGCTCTTCATCGTCTTGCAATGCTAGGTTTGTTTGTAATTCTTTTAAATGTGTTTTTCACTTCATAAATTCGGCTCTTGTTTCTTTGTAGAAGTGCACCAAGGAGGAAAAAATTAAAAGTAAAAACGACTAAAAATATAATGTCTATGTTTTCTACTACAGCACATTTTGAATTAAAATAATCTCTATGTTTTCTAATGGCTGAAAGCTACAGTTTTTAATAAACATAAGATTGAATGCTTTTTATTGACGATGAAGTATTCTGGGCTTGCTTTTGAGTATCGTACCGTGATGATTATTGAATGCAGTGTCAGCTGTGGAACAACTTCAAGCTATGGCTGTGAAACGTCAATACAAGGAAGCAGCTGGGCAGCTTGAGGTTAGTGCTGAGCTTTTGAAATTTTTATTATTGGGTGATTGTGCTGGCTAGTACGGAAGGCAAGTGTTTGATAAGATACGATAGGTCGATGTTCGATAATCTATGTGCTGCTATCACATCATTTGCCTGGCAGGCTATGCCGTTGAACAGATATCGCACCTACAAATACCGCCCTTCTATGAATATAAAGAACAATCAGCATAATAGTGCTTAGCAAGTGGTCTTCATGACCACAAAGGAGTGAGCCTGGTTTTGCATGTGAATCATGCAGGCAGTTAATCAGCTTTGCAGCCATTTTGAAGCATACAGTGACATTCCAAAAATCACAGAATTGAGAGAAAAGTTCAAGGGCATTAAGGATATGCTAAAGTCTCATGTCTTCTCTGATTTTGCAAGGTTATTGTCAAACCTAACTTTTTGTTTCTGTGTTTTGGGAAGCCAACCTGCAACTTATGGAAAAATTTGCTAAGCAATTCATGGCTGTAATTATTGTGTTATATATTGAATCCATGTTCCTTAGTCTGTTGTTGGATGTACTTTGCTTCACGTTGATATACTGTGGACTTTCGGATGGAACAGTTTGGGAACAGCTGGTTTAAGTGAAGACGGTCAACAGATGCAGCAGCTTGCAGACGCTTGCTTGGTCATTGATGGCCTGGATCCTTCTGCAAAAGAAGAACTTATTCGCAATGTTTGTAGTAAAGAGCTTACAGCATATCAGCAAATTTTTCAAGGAACAGGTTTGTTTGGACGTGTTCTTACGAAGATAATTGCTCTTTTATGTTCCTTGGTTTAGAGAAACGAAAACTTCTTTCTAAGACAAGAACATCAATCCTGTCATTCGATTGCTGGTTACATGACGACTTCTGATTTCATGATGGACTGTTTCTGAATGCAAAAAGTCATAATTAGCTTGCTAGAGGACAAGTAGAATTGCTATCCAAAGTTGACTAAATGAACAAGTATTTCTGTTCCCGAATTGCTACTCAAATTTGCATTCCTTCATCAAATGATCCTTAAACAGAGGTAGCCAAGCTGGAGAAAGCTGAGCGTAGATATGCTTGGATAAAGCGCCAACTAAGGTCTAATGAAGAAGTTTGGTCTATCTTTCCTCCAAGCTGGCGGGTTGCACACACTCTCTGCATACAATTTTGTAAAGTTACGCGGTAATTCAACTGTCCATATTATGCATCCTTACACTGGGCATTAGAATCCTAACCCCTTAATTTACTGGGTCGTCTAGCTGTTGGTTTGAGGAATTTTGGTGCTGAATGTGAAATATTCGTGTGATTAGTGTCCTTTTGTTGTTTAGATGCTTTTCGTTTTTGCTCGGTGATTTTTTTATTGTGAATTCGTCCTTTATCAAGTGACCTGTCTCTAAAGTGGATTCATATTTTGTATGGGAAATGTTATGACAGGGCTCAGTTGATGGAAATTCTTGATACAGCTCAACCCAAGCCTGAAGTTGGAACTCTTCTACAGGTGACCAATTGAATCAAAAGCTTCAATTACTAATATCAAATCACATTCTCTACTTGAATGTGCAGGGTCAAAATGAATTGTTCGAGAAGTTCTACGTAGAGATACTTTCGTATCACTTGAATTCAACACAGTTCAGAGTTATCTACTTAATTTATAGTCGTAAGAACAGCATATGTATAATGTTGAAATGATATCATTCAATCATAGACATCACAAGTAATGTGTTTGTAATTGTTAGAGCTCATATTACCATCACAGAACATGGTCTCTTTTCAATTCTTATTCATGTTCATAACCATAGTTTATTATGTACTACGGACCTGCAGGCTTTACAAAGAACCTTAGAATTTGAGGAAGAGCTGGCGGAGCGTTTTGGTGGAAGTGAGGGAAAGAAACAAGAAGAGGAAAGTGACAATGAGGGTTTTGATACTAAAGATGGAAAGGTCACTGCTTCTTCTATACGTAAAAAATATCAAAAGCTGAAACAGGCAATTCTCGAATCAAACAGATCCGACTGTGTCATTTTGCTAGTATTCTGGTCTGTCTGTCGGGATATCGATCTAGCTGCTTGAGCTGGCGGTGAAATGATTACTTCCTTTGAGTTTGTGGTCACTTTCTATTATTACAGCTATCAAGCTCATAATTTGATGCTTTTTCCTGATGATTTTGTTTTGAACAGGAAACTGACGGAGAAAAGAAAGCAAATCAACACTCTGCTAATGATAGGGCAAGCTTTTATCTTTTGTATTTTCTGTGTTGAATAGTCATGGAGACAACGGTTGTCTGTGTTTGTTTGTTCCTTTCTTTCTTAAAATCAGTAACGTCAACATGGAAAGTTACCTCACAAAGCATTGCTTAATTGAACCTTAATGTTTTCTCTAAGTAGTATTATGAAGGATTCCTCTTCATAACTTTAAGTGTTCAAATGATTTAATTTTAGTTGTCTGAAATTATCCTGGTGCAGGCTGCAGCGGCGTTTAACTTCCGAGGCACAATCTCCTCATGCTTTGAGAAGCATATGTCAATATACGTGGAGCTTGAGGAAAAGACCTTGATGGAGGCACTAGACAAGCTAATTCAGGTGCACATCTGTCAGTATATCACTTTCTTAAGCTGCAGCTTTGATTGAACGTGAGAGAGTAATCTAGTTAGTTGATTCCTTGAGGAAAGGTATAGAACTTTTCTAATCCATTGCTTTTAATCACAGGAAGAAACGTGGGAGGCTGAAGAAGGAACTCAAACAAATGTCTTATCCAGTGGCACGCAGGTTTGATTTTCTTTTAGAAGTTGGACATGTTTGTACTTTCTCAAGCCTAAGTCGGCAGAACTTGATTTCTCACCGCATTTTATTTCTTTCTAAAGTAGCCTTACACCTCTACATTGAGGAACATTCATCCTTTTGATCGCAAATTTTACTAGTGCTTAACGGTTTCATCTTGCACAAGACGTATCAACAAATTGTTGCATTAAGGCATGTTCATTCTGCACATTTAGGCATATAGGTTTGGGCATGTCAGTCATGGTTTTCATTTGCACACCTAGGCATTACTCAGAGTCAGTTACGCGCAGGTGTTTTTGATCATTAAAAGAAGCTTGAAACGTTGCAGTGCCCTCACCCGCAACCAAACACTTTTCAATTTGTACAAGGTGCTCTTCTTAATTCGTCTTGGTATCCGCCATGTTTATGGTTTTTAGAGGAGTATTTAGTGTAATTAGATCATGTTTAGATTTTGGAATCATGCGGGAATGTCACTTTTCAAGTAGAGCTTGATTAAAATGTGACTTATTATGTAGTTTCTGAAAAAAATCATCTGGATCATCTTTATGTCCTGTTCTTTTGTTTGATGTGTAGTGTTCAATCGTTTCAATGCGCTTCTGTGTAGAGCTCTCAAAATACCATTAAATATTCACATTCCATGTGACAACATTACTAAAATGACCTTTGTTTCTGAAATAGGTCTTCCAGCGAGTGCTTCGAGCTTATGCTGGGAAGCTAGTTGCAAGGCTGCCCAGAGGTCAGCCTGGACTTGTATCTAGCACGGAGGGGCAAGTGAAGGTAATATTGATGTACATTTCAAAATTAATCAAGCTTTAAGATGTAGTTGCTTGCACGAATATTATTTGATACGCTAAAATGGCTACGATGCTCTAATGTTGCGTTCGTCTGTGTATCCAGGTTTCAGACAAAGATGAGAGAGTCATCTGCTATATTGTCAATACGGCAGAGTACTGTCACGAGACGGTATGATTTGGTTCCTCGTATGCTGCTTACTTTGCAGTTTTTTTTTTTTTTTTTTTTTTTTTTTTTTTCTCAGTTTAATTGAGTAATCTGCTGATGTTAATGGGATCTTGATTTTAGATCTGCATTTGTGGACTGTAAAAGGAGCGTGCACTAATCAGCAAATATGGGTTTTGTAATGTCTGATGCCTGGACTTGGAGAATTAAGTTGCTAGACTTTCAGCGATCTTCCTGACGGGAGGCAATATACTTAACAAAGATCTTTCCAGGCTTTTTAAGGTGTAGAATCTCCAATGTCGAACGCACGCTTGAATCATGCATAAGTTATCTGGTGTTATCTCCTCGCAGGCTGCAAATATGGGCGAGAACGTTGCAAAGCTTATTGATTCCCACTTTTCAGAAAGCATAGACATGTCTGAAGAACAGGTATGACCGCCCTATTTGAACCTATTAAATGTAGGTGATTCGCATCTGTGGACAACTTTTTTCTTACTTAAGGCACTTTTCGTAGGATGAGTTTTCTGGAGTAATCACGAAGGCTTTGTCAATATTAGTACTTGGTTTGGAGACACGGCTTGAGAATGAGTTGGCTAATATGGCTCGTCTTCCATGGGCCACTCTTGAGAGTGTGGGCGACCAATCTGAGTACGTATTTCAATCTTATATTTGTAGACAGATATAAGTGGAGAGAGAGAGAGAGAGAGGGGGGGGGAGATTTCATTTTGAAGTGCTTATTTGAGTTCCAGCATCAGTCTTTTACCTCTACGCAGTGTGGGTAAGCTTGAGTTTTGTGGGGACTTTATTTAGCTGCAATGGTGTGTTTCATCCCAAGACCTTACATTTTTTTATAATTGTCGATGATTTGCAGCTACGTTAATGGCATCAGCGTCATACTTTCTAGTAGTGTCCCAGTGATTGCAGGACTCCTATCGCCTCTCTACTTTCAATATTTTATGGATAAGGTATGCTATTCTCAAATGATGGCAGTATTTGTCCTTGTAGAGTGCACATGCACATCATACGTTCATGCATCTCCACTTATTGTATCGTTCCATGTGCAGTTAGCAGCGTCATTTGCTCCAAAATTCCACAACAATATATTCAAATGCAAACGCATCTCTGAAACTGGAGCACAACAGGTGAATCTAGTCCCCACTATTTGAACACCTTTCTCTTACGGTAATATTGACGAGTCTCTTTTCGATGACTGGACACGCTGTCTGCAAATCTAAAACCTTCAAGAGCTGATATGGGCTTGATTGTTCTGATTTGGTAAATGTTCATTATCATTTGACTTGATTAAAACTTAGTGCCTATGTATTTTGAGCCAAAGATGAATTCCTTAGGTGTGGCTACTATTAAGAGCGGATTAAAAAAAATTATAACATAATGGCAACTGGTTATGACTGGAGGCGGATATCTTCTTGGTTAATTCTTATGAAATCAAAAATCGCGCTTTTCGCCCTTACAGATTTCATCATGAAGGTTTTGTTTGTTTATTATTGTTGAGTTATTATCTTGTTTGCTCTTGGATTTGGTTCACCTATAACTAATCCAAGTTGTAGAGTGGAGTGTATGGTGACTTTCATCATTGAATAATATGGTCTTGTTTCTGTTGATATGCAGATGCTATTGGATACACATGCAGTCAAAACTTTGCTTCTGGAGGTTCCTTCACTTGGAGGCCAGGTGAGCCCTGATCTCAACATGTGTGTCTTGAATAGTGGAATAATAAAGATCCTTTTCTTACACTTTAGAGCCATCTATTTTCTTTAGAGGTTGGATTTAATGCGTCTTATCTTGCAAGAAAGTTATGTAAATGAAGTTTGTTCTAAACTGACCAGGCCAGTACCCCAGCAAGCTATACCAAGTACGTGGCGCGTGAAATGAGCAAAGCAGAGCATCTGTTGAAGGTTTGGATAGCTCTCACATTATTGTGGAAGCATTTATAAATGCACATTCCTTCACCATGTTCAGTTATGGTATATTTTGTGAAGAACATTTGAGCCTATGTCTTATTTTCTGGGAAATTGTAGCAAGCTGTAAATCTCGCTAATTACTTAGCAATGAGTTGTAGGTTATATTATCTCCAATGGAGGCCATTGCGGATACTTATCGTGCCTTGCTACCGGAAGGTTCTGGTGCTGACTTTCTTCGAATTCTTGACCTTAAGGTTAGATATCATACTTTTGCTTACCAATCTTAATCGATGTCTTAGTTTTATTTTTTTGACCTTGTCTTTGTTATTTGTTCAAAAATAACGTGTCATTGGTTTCCTCATTTCAGGGTGTAAAACGCACGGATTCGCAGCCATTGATTGACCGATTTACAAACCGTAACATTGAAGCATTACCAACTTCACATGTAAGTGGGTCTCAGCAATCCAATCAAGCGAATACAGCACCGTCCACTCCCACGTTTGCAAACTCTGGACAACAAAGCAAGGAAGCCATGATGTCTCGCGTAGGGGCTCTGGGAAGGGGTGCAATTTCTCAGTCCGCAGCAGCAGCTGCTGCTGCATCTAGTACAGGTTTGAAACGCCTGTTTGCTGTCGTTGAGCAAGCCAAAGAAGGAGCTGCTAAAAAAGAGGGTAAGATGGTGTTACTGGAAACATCTCCTCTATTAACTTATGATATCTTGATAGCCATCGTAGTATCAGCTCACACTTGATTTATTCTAGGGCAATTCTTGGCTTTGCAAGGTTTGGTTGTGCCATGTATTTCCGCAGCATACATTTCCTAATCGCCTCTGATTTTGAGTGCGCTTGGCATGGTGCAGGATCCCATATACAGGAGTGGTTCTCTAACATAGGAAGACGATAGAAGCTACACATTGATGATAAGAATGAGACTGAACCCCATGCGTGTCTTCGTAGCCGATCGCCACTATACACAATTGTTGCTTCCCACTTTGCCATTAGATCTGTCCCTTAGAAAATTGGTCTCTGCTGTCACTGGATCGTGTATTAGTTGCTGGTGACACCTATTCCCAGTGTTGAGCAGAGTATAGGACTAATCACACATCTTCAGTACAATTTGAGAAGACACTCTGCACGTTTGGTCCCTCCAATTCAGTACCATCAGGGTTTTGATGGACGTAAAGGATTTGCCAGGACGTCTTCTGTCAATCCGCTGGACTTGGAAACGATGCTGAATGAACACCGTGAAATCGTGAATGGCGTGCCTTACGAGCGCAAGCCGTTTTCAGGAATCTTTCATTACGATCGACATGATACGTGTCAGGTTGTGAAACAACTACCCAACATCTTGAGCGTTAAGGTCAATATCAATAAGATTTTGATTAAACCATGCAGTTTGTTTTGGATGATAACTTTGTTGTCTTGTCGGACAAAAGTTGTGTGCCATCACCCAAATAGCTACTCGACTGAGGTCTATTACCCTGCTTCGTTTACAAATTGTGATTCATGAATCTTTTACGATTTGAAAAGACACTAAGCACATGCTGCTGAGTCTTCCCAAACTCACCAGAGTTTGTTTCCTATCCCTTTTGACACAGTTGTGGTATACCCATTGCATTGATTAGGGGTTTTGTTATCAGAGAGTTGTCTAATTTCGTAACACATTATCAAAATGTAGAAATTAGAGTACTACAAATCTTTTTTGATATTTAATACTGAATTAATCTACTAGCATTACTTCGTGAATGGTCAATCTGATACACTGTCATTCAAGCCTTTTGTTTATTTAACTCTGAACATTCCTCAACCCATCCATGATCTAAAAGTAGAGATGTTTCAGAATTATGTCGTTTGTTCAATTTATCTCTAATAAACTTCCTCATTAATCTTTTGTAAGTTAGTCCGAATTATTTTTCAAATGTGTTGGTCAAATTATACTTCATTCTTTGATGCTTGAGCAATGTGTTTTATATACATTATCCATATGCATGTTCTTTTAAGCGATGATCAAATGATTTTGAGTCTTTTAGAACAATTAGAATGTCTTTAATAAATTAAAAGCTTGTTAAGGCTTCCAAAATCTTAGACTTGAGATTGGTTTGTAGATCAAAAATAAATATGATAATCAACAAGGCATCAAGTATTCTATAAATCATTTAAAGAAATTTTCTAAGCTAAAATATTTGGTTTTAGATCAAATTACCACCTTCAAATTTTAATTAAATGGCATATATGACATATTTGTTATTTTATAGTTTTGTACTACTTCAAGAAGCCTTAATAGCAATTTAGGCTTTTAGATTGACTACCTATTTTATAAATTTTTCTTTTAGTTGTTCTAGATGATTTAACTCATATTTTTTATTCTAATTTTGTATTTTGATTTTTAAAGTAAGACATATTTTGGGATAATGTCATCCAAAGACTTATTTCATCTCGTATAATCTTTAAGTTTTAGAGGTTGTAAGCTTTTTATAATAAATATTATCAACCTCTCAAATAAGATCTAATCAAATATTGCCAAAAGCTTTTTTTTTCATATACAATAGAAAATTCTTATGTTTCTTAATTATATCTTATAATAAGTAATCTATGCTCTACAACAAAAATTTATTCCAAATCTTTTGAAATATAATTAATGTGGTTTTTTAAGGTACATAGTTAGTTTGGTCATTGCACTTTTAATTTTAAAATAGTTTTTTGAATCTCTATTTTAATAAATAATTTTAAAGCAAAGCATAGACACAATCTGACAATAATTTTTTACTCACCTTTGGCAAAATTAATATTAGTTTGTACATTAGAAACAACTACAAGTTAGATTTACTTAGATATGAGGTTTTAATAATTCATTTTGCAGATTGAAACACTTCTACTACTTTGAGATCCATGAAACAAGATTTTTATTCATCAAAAGATTTACAACATTTATACTATGTGTTTTTAGATTTGATCAAAGATTTGATGTTGTTCCACAGAAAACCTCATATTAAGGCTTTAATTTTTCTTATTTCTTTTTAAAATCTAACTCAAATAGATAAGAATAGTAATAATAATAATAATAATAATAAGTTTTTTATTAAAATTATCTTTCTTACTATATTTATTTTGACTATTATTAGTTATTTTTCTATTTTTCTATCAATACAAATTTAGTCAATATCTTTTGTTAAAAAAATCAAAATAGAATAGAGTACCAAATAATTTTAATAATTTATTTCCAATAGTCCATGACCATCTAAATTCTTCTATCTATTGACATCAAGGAAAGAATTTATTTTGACAATATACCAAGGATTATGACCAATTTCTATCTAATCTTATTTTTTGGCAAAATATTCACAAAATTTCTACTATCTTAAATATAAAGCTACTTCTAATTTTATATTTATTTATTTATTCTTATATATTTTTTCTTTGCAATAAAATTTATAAAAATTGATTCATTTACAAATTTTAATTTAAAAACATCTATATATTATAAAAAATAACCAAAATATAAGATACTTTGGTTTTTACTCATAAATCTATTAGGTACTAAAAATTAAATTTAAAATGATATTTTCTTTAAGATGCTTATTAAATTTGAATATAAAAAATTATTAGAAGATAATCCAATGGTATTATATCAAAATAAATCCTTTGTCAAAATATTTCAATTTGAAGTAGAAACAAACTTCTTATATAAAATTTATTAGATCTTATCAAAATTCTTATGGATTTTTCTTAAAAGTGATAAACTTGTCTATTTTTTTTTTTAAGTTGATCAAGTAATATCATTAAGGCCATTCTTTCTTGCTAAAATCAAATAAGCTTTTTATCTAAGCTACTAAAAAAATACCATTCAAATCAAATTATATATGTAGTCGTTAAGGACACAAACTAGAAGAAGATACATAAACTCGTGGAATGTGTGTCAAAAGAAAAGTGACAAAATAGAAGAAAGTATGTTTTATTCAAGGAAGAATTGGAATGGCTATTGCCAAAGACTAGAAAATATAAGACTCTTGAAATTAGACTAAAAGCAAGAAAGGAGTTGACAAGAGTGAGAAAGACCTCACTCTTGCCTCTATATATACTACTTAACAAAGGAATACATGGCAACATGCTATAAGACCTCTAATATGCATCCAACTTGTAAGATACATGTTTAATTTGTAAAACAAGTTTCTTAGGTGTGTGCCATATGTCCAACTTCTACTACAAGTGGTCAACATGTCAACATGTCGCCTCCTTGTTGGCCAAGTTTTCAATCTATCAATCACCTACAGACATGTATAAAAGCAAAGTAGTGTCTATAAAGCTTCTAGGAAGCTTTTCATAAGATAATGTCATATTTATCTATTTTGACTTACTTCTATCTATTCTTATTACTTAGATAATTATTGGAGTAAATACATATGTCCTTGATATTACCTCCCAATCTAAGGACAAGTTCCACAAGAAGAGATGATTACATATTCATGAAGTCCAAGATGTGCGAATTATATTTGTCACATATTGTGAACTTTGTTCCATTCGAAGGAAGTTGATAGGTCCATTCAACCATCGATAATGTCTCATACCATGGTAAGAAGACTACCCTGATATTTGATCATTATTGAGGCCTTCATAACTTTCTTCAAACAAAACATTAATAATACCATTAATAGTAGTTCCTACCTCCAAAAGTATCACTAAACACTAAGAGTTCTTTCTAAGGTCGTGGTACCAAATACATTATATCTTGCCTAGTATTTGAGGAAGAACATATTATTTTTGAGGGTCTTCATCTCGATTTTGTCATCTTGAAGGTTGTAATAGTTGCAATGTCTCATCTGGTAGCTGAGCAAATGATAGCTCTAAAATTGAATCTACTAGTTGTTGGTTCTTCATCTCTTAAGTACTAAAAAATCCAAAAAAACAATCAAACAAGATAGAATGAAATCTCTATTGGACTTACTTTGCTTCATAGCAAAGAATTTCTTGATTCTTCATCTTAATTTTGATGGATGTTGTTGATGAAATGCTTAAACTTACGCAAATGCATTTACTAGATTCTTAGATGGCTCCTATGTGCATTCATTAATGTCATATCCATGCCAATCTATCAGATATTCTAACCTATTTTGGCACTTCCTTGAATCTAAAACTTCATCCACCTCAAATTCGTCATTATTGTCCACTTCTATAGAATCCATGGTAAAATCTATAGAGACACAAAAGCATACTTGTTCTCGTATAGGTAATGGTTGAAGGAGTTCATCAGATCGATGACGAGGAGTTTTTGATCTTGAAAAAATATCACATGTTTGCACAAATTCTTTAATAGCCTTCTACATTTGAGGCCACCAAAAATCTCTAGATATAAGCTCCAAAGTCTTATTATATCCAAAATGTCCTATTACAGGGAAATTGTGATAAGCTTCAAGAGCATGTAATCATGCTTCTCCTTCTAGAACATATAAATGTCCTTCAAAATAGAGTAGGTCCTCCTTAAACTCAAACTTCAAAATATCTTGAGACTTAGAGGAATTATTTTTAATATCATCAACAAGAAGTTTTGAGGACATACTTGCTTGGATTTGCTTGAGAAAAGACAAATCAATAGTTAATATTGATTTCAGTGCTCAAAAATGAAATTATTCTGGCTTCAATAAAATTATCTTTTGTTGTTCAAAAGTTGCTTCTCTTTCTTTTGGTGTAAGATAAGAATGTCTAGAAAAGACATTAGACAACCTTGATTTTTTTTCTAGCTGATAAGTGATATTGAGCTCGAATCTTAACAAAGATATGCTCCAACGAGCCTAGCAACAATTCAAAACACATGCTGACATGAAATATTTGAGATTCTTGTGAACCATATACATGGTGACTAGACTTGAAGTGACTTCTAAATAATGATACTGTTCTTGAAAAGAATCCACAATTGCAAGAAGTTCTTTATCATAGATTTTATAATTAATCTCGGCTGTTGAAAATTTTCTTGAATGAAAAGCTATTGGATGAATTTTGTCATCTGCTTCTATTTGTGATAAGATTACATCCAAGGCAAAGTGAGATGCATCTATCTCCATAAAAAATGCTTTGAAAAAATCAACACAATACAAGATTGGTGCAGAAATAAAAGCTTTCTTCAAAGCTTTAATTGATGCTTCTACTTCTTTATTCTACTCGAATTTATCTTTACAAGTTAAGCTTATAAACAGTGCTGTAACTTGAAAAAATTTCTTGATGAAATTCAATAATAATTGACAAATCCTAAAAAGCATTGTACATCTTTTATTATTTTTGGAATCTTTCAGTCTATGATTGTATGAACTTTTTTACAATTCATCATTAGACCATTATTTGAAATGATGTATCCTAAGAAGTTAATTTAAGTAGTGTGGAATACATGCTTTTCTATCTTGGCATATAATCCCACATCTCT